AAATCCTTATCTAACTACAGTTATGGGTTTATATTTTGGAGAAAAAAATGCCTTATTAAGAGTCAGAACAACTCCTTAAATTCAAGTATAAAATGGTTATGCGACATATTTCTCCGGGTAGCCGTTAGGTACACACATATATATTCACACTTCACAAGGAAGCAAAAGTGTGCAAATCCAGTTAAAAATGAGTGAAAGAAAAAAAATAATGGTTTTACAAAGTGCTGTTTAAAAGGTGATCTGTGAAATGCCTTACTGTGAGTTCGTGCCTGGCTATTTGTATAGCTGTACAAACAGACCTCGCTCCCCTGACAAACAGGCCAGCCCCGACAATGGAAAGCCCCTCTCCCCCCCTCTGATAAAGACTGGCACAACAGCGAGATTTTGGCGTGACCCCCACAGGGCAAAGTCGCCATCCCTGTGACTTCAGGAACAGGAAATCCATGCTGGTTGTGTGGCAGTCTTCTGTAAATTGTTGACTCTTCAGCTGGAAGAGCTTCATGTGTATTTCTCAAGGAAAGGACTTTGACCTTTCAGGTGTTGATTTTTCTTTAATATTATTACTACTATTTTTTATTTCTCTGAAGCAAAAAATAAAGGAGCCGTTCATACCCATTTCTAGTTGTGTTTTAGGGAGAGGGATTGCTCAGTGATTGCACCAGCCCTATCCTGGTCGCCAGCTGTGTAAAACCTAGAAGTAGAACTGTCTCTAAAAGTGGCAGGAGCTTTAGCATGCACCACAGCTACTGATGCTCTTAATTAACTTCCCCCATTACCTTCTCTTTGTTCATGCAAGAGTGAGAAGCCCTTGTTTTACCCGCTGCAAGTTTAACAAGCCTCTTCTGCTCCTCAGGGAGAGCGTGAGCCCTGTTCCCTAGGGAGCAACTTCTTTCATGAAACTTGTCTTTCTCCTGACCGCAGACGAGCTTCACGGTGGAAATATTGCTACTCTTCCTTACCACCTAGTTTGGGAGGCCAGAGGCCCTGTGGGAAATGATGGGATTTTGACATGGAAATAAATAATTTTTTTCAGTGCGTGAGTGCAGAGGGAATGAGAGAGCGGAGAGGGAGGGCAGGGTCAAAATAACTTTGGTCTTAACAGTTCCCGTCTGTGATCTCCCATAAACATCTCCCAGTGATCATGCATTTGGACCCTGAGGATCCGCAGGTACCTTTGCTCACCTTCTCCCTCTTGACTGACAGCTGAGGTGGAAGCCAGAAGAGGAAGGGTGAAGGCAACAATCTCTTGGGAAAAACCCTGTGTCTAGAGCAGGCAAAACTTAGCTTTTCCAGCTGCAAGTTTGAAGCCAGAAACATTCTTGTTGCTGCCACTGCTGGTGCTTTCTGTGACCACCAAAGTACTTGCCACCCACCTGGTTTCGTCTCAGAGAGGGCTACCACACTTGCAACACACTCAGTGTAAAATAGCAAACGGGTCCGTTGAAACCTTACACCTTCTCTTCCCTTACCTCCTGGTCTTGAAGCAGCTCTTGCTGGAGCTGCTTATGTCCGAAGGGCTCTTAGGCAAGGGGTGGGGGAGGTGGAGGTCCCTTAACCCTCACAGTGCAACACGACTGTGGCCAGTGAGCCCTTGCTGTGAGAACCATTCTACCTTACAAATAAAGGAGCGCTGGTGTAAGGCACCCATTGCTCATAATTAAAGACACAGACTTAAACGTGGTATATTAAAGGGCAGTTTATCCCCAGAACTTGTGGGCAGTCATATGATCATTCCTGGGATTTGACCTGCCTGTAAATCAGATGGGCATTGTTCCATCCTTATGAGTCAACAAATTTATGTTTGGGAGACAACGATCCAGTAAAGGTTTGCAAAAGTGAGACCTGAGAGTTTCAGTTTATTCTTTCATTTGGTCTTGCTCAAAACTGGTTCCTGCACAAACAGTTACTCAGATTTTCTTTTTTCCCCTTCTGCTTTTTAACATATTATCCTGCTTTTTAAAACATTGTGTGTGTTTCTAGCAGCCTGGAATGCCTTCAGCTGATGAGTCATCTTATGTACTTACGTTAAAATGACATTAATTACCCTCTGGAAAAAACCTCTGTCTTGACCATAAAGGAAAATTGGGCTGAGTAGCTCAGGCAGAGACATCCATTTTATTTCCAGTTAAGTTAAAGCAGATGAATGCCTTCAAGCATTACAGACTGGGACTGAATTGTACAGGCAGGTCTCCAACACAGTTTCTTTGGTGCTCTCTAAACCAGGAGCTTTCTCTCCACTTTGCTGGACCACAGAGTTGCCTCGAGTTAGGTAACACCATAGAGAAGGGACCTGTCACTTGTATATTTCCCCATTTAGAAGTGTTTTACAGCCACTCCTAGTCATGATGTCATGTTAGGTTTTGGGATTATTTTTTACAGTGTTTGTGAAAATTTCTCTCTGAAAACGATTTTTAGTTTCTATCATGTAAAAATATTGATGCTGGGAAGAGAATGAATGATAAAGTGTAAAATTATGTCTTAGTTCAGAATGTCTCTCCCCAGGCTATTAATTTGTGTATCACTAGCGTGTCCATCATTACTGGTTGCACGGTTTTGCAAGTTATTAATAAATAACCAAGATAGGTAAAGCTCTTTGCTGCAATGAGCCATCAACCCATTTCTTACAACGTTCACTCAAGGATAGAGTAACAGTGGCTGTTTGGTATTTATATTTTGCAGATGTAGAGTTTTCCAATGGAAAGGCTGGTATTTTTGATGAGCTTTTGTTTGCTGTTGTCCACTACAGAGCAAGCACCATCGTAAGTACACTTTATTATTAATTCTTCACTCCTAACAAATCTCTTTAAAGAGAAAGTAGGAAATGCTAATGGTCTTGATAGGGAATCGACAAAGACTTTTTAGGATCACTGAAAATTTGCATAACCTCAAATAGGTAAAAAGTAAAATGCCTAAAACTGTTCTTCAGGGCACTTTTAAGCGGCAAGATCTCTATTCAGTAACAAATAATTTAAAATGTCCTACTAAAGCATGATGTTCATGTTGTTCTTGCTGCTTGTTTATCTTTAGTTTATAAAACTTACCGGATTGGAGAATCTTCGGAAAGAATAACTCTCCTTTCTGTAATTGATTTACACACTGGAGAAAGCAAAGGTTTCATGTTTGGGAGAACTTCAAGATTTTTCTGTGCTTATCCTCTATTTTAATGGAGATTTACATAAGTTGATAGTGGTTCTAGTTCTTATGAAAATCAGCCTACATACTGGATGATCTGTTTCTGTGTTGTTTTAGATTTCTTATTACTGCCCCAAACGTGGTACATTTGGGCAGACATGAGACAGTAACCGTTCAAGTCCATGGAGCACTGAGCCCTGTGCAAGTTACTGCGTACTTCAAAGATGAGACAAAAAATCAGCTCCTATCAGAAAGGATCATCTTTAACCTTAACCAAAATAACAACTACCAAGAGATGAAAAAAATAATGGTGAGTCCACCATCATAGAGATGGAAATGTTTTAATCTGGTGATAAAAAAACCCACATAATCTGTACCAGGAATATGTTGGAACAGAGACAACATTTATCATAGAATGATATCATAGAATGGTTTGGGTTGGAAGGGACCTTAAAGACCATCTAGTTCCAACCCCCCTGCCATGGGCAGGGACACCTTCCACTAGACCAGGTTGCTCAAAGCCACATCCAGCCTGGCCTTGAACACTTCCAGGGATGGGGCACCCACAGCTTCTCTGGGCAACCTGTGCCAGTGCCTCACCACCCTCTCTGGGAAGAACTTCTTCCTGATATCTAATCTAAACCTCCCCACTTTCAATTTAAACCCATTACCCCTGGTCCTGTCACTACAGGCCCTTGTAAAAGTCCCTCCCAGCTTCCTTGTAGCCCCTTCAGGTACTGGAAGGCTGCCATAAGGTCTCCCTGGAGACCTTATCCCTAGAGACAGATGACAAAACACCAATTCCAGTGACATCAGCACCCTATTCACCTAACAAGCAAGCTCAAGACCCTGTCATATGGTGATAAAAGATCTTTTCATCACTGTAGATCAGTGACAAAATTAAATTTAAAAACATTTAATCGTTTTTTCACTGTTCATTATTCTACAGCACTTAGACTGCATTCATGCCTTTGGCACACTGGTAATTTGTACAAAACAGGATAAATCTTTAAAAATGTGCACTCTTAGACCAAAGCCTGTGATGTTTCTGCAAACCTGTAAGTTGATTAATTCTGCTTTACATGCTGCTTTACATCATTTGCTTCTGACATGATTCTTTGAAGTCTGGTAGTGTTTAGTTCAGGAGTACTAGTTTGGGCTATTTCACTGGAAAACAGCAAACAACAAGACTCAGTTTAACTCTGATTGATTACTTCCAAAGCTAAAAGCCGAGTTTTCAGATCAGGTACCTCTTAAGCATGGTGTTCAGAAATATTGTATTAACCTGCATGAGATAAAGCTTTTATCTCATAGCCAAGATTTTAGCAAGTTAAGGGTCACAGGATGCTGCTACACCAACCAAATGATGTGGGAACTGGAATTGAAGTCACTGGGCTTGACTTTTTTGCCATTGGACAGAATAATGTGTATTTCTATGGCAGAAAATGGAGGATTAGATAGTATTTTTACTTAAAAAGGAATATTTGCCCAGTAAGAAAGACATAACAGTAAGAAGGATACAGTTGTGTAGCTTCTGTTGAATGATGCTAAAAGCATTATTTATGCACTTCAGCTGGTTTTGGTCATCATCTTCTTCACAGAGAGGGTGGTGAGGCACTGGCACAGATTGCCTAGAGAAGCTGTGGATGCCCCATCCCTGGGAGTGTTCAAGGCCAGGCTGGATGAGGCTTTGAGCAACCTGGTCTAGTGGAAGGTGTCCCTGCCCATGGCAGGGGCGTTGGAACTAGATGGTCTTTAAAGTCCCGTCACACCCAAACCATTCTGTTATTCTGTGGTTCTCAGCTGTGTGGCTCCAAAGTTACCAGGTTCAGACCTGACTGTGGGTCTTTTCCTTTTGTCCTCTTCAGGTCAAGCCAGGGACTCTGCAACAGGATCTGTTCAAGAAGAGTAATCAGCCCTATGTTCTGCTAGTCACCGAAAGCAGGGAGCTTCATACGGACATGGCTCAAAGCACTCGCATCCTCCTGTCTATGAAGAAAGGCTACATTTTTATTCAGACAGATAAGCCTATATACACACCAAGTTCCACAGGTTAAAATGCAAATGCTGCACTTCAGATGTTGAATATAGATGTTACAAGGGCATGATTGAAAAGAAGTAATAATGACTTGGTCCTTCCTAATGTAAATCCTTCTCATTTAACCCCAGCTATCTCTGTGCTTACCTGCCAGTACAGGTTTTCAGCATGCTTATTGCAGCCAGGGTTTCTGCAGTGCCTGCACCGCACGTTGTGGCAACCCCTGTGGGAATGCCACTGGAGCCAAAATGTCATTCTCTCTTCTAACAGGAGACAGACAAAATCTGCTCCTTTTTGTTAAAAAGAACCTTAATAATGACTTTCTTTTGGAAATCAGTTTCTGAGAAACCTACAAAAAACACTCCTATTGCTTCTGCTTGCAACACCAGCAATAAGTATCCTTTGCACTTCTTGGAATTTTTGTATTTTTTTGGAATTTGCTTCAAAAATACATCTGTTTGATCATGTAACTTGCAAAGCCAATGAAAGAATGTAATTATTTCTGAAATCTCTCAGACTTCTTTTCATTAAAAGAAAGTGGTTTATCTTAAACTCAGTAACTCACTTTAGAGCTTGATGTGATAGAATAATTACTGTTTAGAAAGGCCAGAAAAAAATATGTGAACACATTTATTCTTCTGTTAAACAGTAAAATACAGGATCTTCATTCTGGACAATGCTATGAGGCCAGCAGATGACACAGTTACAGTTGCTGTGCTTGTAAGTATACAAAAAAAAAAAAACAAACACGCTATCAATGAGTGCTTCTTCATCACAGGAACTATGAAAACTTCCACAAAAGATCCAAGAGTAAAACTATATCTATGACTCCTCTACAGAAAGCAGTTTTTACACATTGTAAGATATGTCTAGTCATTTTTGGCCAATATCAGGAGCATGGGGGGAAACATAACATGTTGAGTATTAAAGTAGAAAAGAAAGAAGAGCATTTCCTTTTCCTTAGGACTAGTGTATGAACTTGACCTTTTGGATGTAAATGTTTCCTGCCTGGTGCATAATTTTATGTTTGTTTGCTGTCTCTCAACAGAATTCAAAAGGGATGGTGGTTAAAAAGTCAGACCGGAAAATAAAAACAGTGTTCAGTGAAAACTTTGAGATACCGGACATTGCTGAGTACGTCACTGCTGTTCCTCGTGCATTAAAACAGTTCCCATGTGGAAATGTCTCTTGCAGCAGAACTATCTTCAGGATGAAAACAAGAGTCTTGTCCTTCCCTTCTTTCTGTTCTGCCCCCTTGTTTTCCTCTCTTCTTTTTTCCTTATTATTTTCTGCTTTACTGTTTCTTTAGAACAGGAGGTGCGCTAAAGCAGACGGTTTTGCTCTGATTACACCTGGGAAGCACCACGGCGTGCAGGGACAGAGCAAGGTTGCTCTGGAGACAGCCCTGGAGCCTCCTGCCATGCAGGGGTCTACACCTCAGCTGCCCACCCCACACTCCCTTCCCTGACACTGGAGAGAACCTCATATGTTTTGGGTGATACACCTGACCAGTTTTAGCTGCCTGCGTCAGGATGAGATGTACCATGTCTCAGCATTGTCTGTTACTCTCCATTGTCTGTAGAGGAGCCAGAGGGGACCTACATGGAGGAAAGACCTCACAGTATAATGTCTGAAGTGAGGAGGACTAATCCCACCTCCTACTAGCAGGATCAAACCATCCATATTCATCCCCCTTACCTGTTGAAGTACTTAAGATTTTTAACTGCCGTATTGCTTGAACTGCCTTTCAAAATTGTACTTTCACCATAGAGCAGGGATTGTGCCTATGGTTAACCTCTGGTTACCTTGAAGCACCTCATCTTGGGCAGATGAGTCCAGAATTTAATGTTAATATGCTGCAAGTAGCAACATTTATCCTGTTAAGGAACCATTTAGCAAACTGCTTAAATAGCTGCTCAACTGTATGACTACATTCAGGAGAGCACTTTTGTCAGGGATCAGTTTGCAAAGTGTAATTAATTACCCCCAATTTCAAGCAGTCAAGCTTTTACTTTATATTCAGTGTGTTCTTGCATGCCAGCTTGATTTTGACATCACAGTGAAGATAAGCTATAGGAAATATACGATGAATTTTCTATTTCTGAGGGCTTTTCAAAGGCAGCACTTGTTACACGAGGTTTGCAAATATGTTATCTTGCAGCTCCTCTTTTTGAGTGTTTCCTAGGACACTTGGAAATTATGTTGCTGGCTTCTCCCAGCAGAGAAATCCATTAATAAATTAGACTGGGATGAGATCAAAGCAAGGAAAATATTAGCATTCAGTGATAATTTAAATATATTAGCATCATGAAATATCTGAGGAATCCTAATTATGTTCTGCTGAATATGAACTTTAGGCCTGGAACATGGAAAATCAAAGCCTGGTTTCATCAATATGAAATGTCTAATGCTTCTGCTGAATTTGAAGTTAAAAAATATGGTAAGAGACTGTTTAATTTGCATTATAAATACATGAAGCCATCGCTATGTGTTAAATGTAGTACATGGAGTTAGGTACTGAGGACAAGGTTCAGTGTTTTAATACCTCATTCCAGTCTCTCTGATGCACAGGAGAACTCTGGTTTTCTGTGCCTTCCTCTTACATTTGAAAATAAAGGTTTTATATGGACTTGGTAATTTAGATATTTTACACATGCTTTTTTGGAAGGGCTCTTCTACTGCAGAAAAAAATGGAACTGAGCTCCATCTTTGCAATTCTGGCTAAAGTTTTCACTGAAGACTAGAGTGAAAAAAGCTACCTATTTTCTCTCAGTAGAATTAAGTTTGGAAGCTGATTAGAGTTGTTCCCATACTCAGGGAAGATTTTTTAAAGAAAAGTAAGGGCACTGTGGAAAAAGTAAAAATGTAGAAAATTAACAATTTGTGATAAGAAATGGCTTGATTTATTTGTGCTGAAATTACGCTTTCTAGTAAAATTTAGCATGGGTTTGGTTTGGGGTTTTTTTGTTTGGTTGGTTTGGTTTTTCCTTAAAGGCAAAAGAAAATGTCAAGATTATATGAAAATCTCAGTTCAACACAACTGGTTTTGCCTTAACTAGTGGCTGTAAACAAAATAGTGGAAATTACTGCAGCCTCTGCAAAGTCCTACATCCAAGAGCAAGTTACCCTGGCTATACCTACAGTAGCAAACAGTTTGGCTTTATAGGAGCAAATTGCAGAGTGACACAGGTGATGCTGAGGACCTCTTGTCCACACTCAACTCATTTCAGGTTGGGTTTACTTCTGACTGCTTCTAGCCCAGGGCACTTAATGCCCGTTAGCAGTTGGAGTGGTTAGAGCTTGTCTTCTGGCTTTTCATTGTAAATAAATCAATTTTGTGTGCTGGAAGACTGCTCAGCTGTGTGAAGTAAAGCAGAATAAGGGAAGATGATCAGGAGATTTTTTTCAGAAGGGCACTGTTTATTCAAACTAAAACATCCTCAGTGCAGCTGCATCTTCTCAGTGGGTGTTGCCACATGCCAGGAGTTTAGGTATGTTTGAAACTCGCATGTCATGACCTTTTGTCTTCTCTTTTTTCATGCAGAACTTCCATCCTTTGAAGTCAAACTCACTCCGCTTCAGCCATACTACCACATCTGGAATGAAAACTTTGTGTTTGATATCGAGGCAAAGTAGGTGTGCTCACAGCGAGGTTGTTTTAGCAGGCAGATAAGTAGATAATGAGCTTTGCAGCTTCTTCCTTTTTCTTCTTATTAACAGTTAATCAACTTCTGGCTTTACTTGAATCTGACTTCCATCTTATATACTCTCTGTTTCCAGTACTAACTTGAGAAGTCAGTGTAAAATGCTACCTGGGTCTAAGTGGTAGATCAAAATGGAACAAGTTTTTCTAAGTATTTTAGTTCGCTAGTAAAAAGTTGACTATTGAAGATTCTCCTCTGTGTTAGTAGGTAAGGTTCTGGGCAAACCAATAACCTGCTTATCAGTGACTAAATTATCATCATGACTGTGGCCATTTATGTTTCATTTTATATTTGACTCTGGAAAGCCTTCCAAAGTGAAAGCAGGAAACAAATCAATATATTCAAACGTTATTTAACGTCTTTTGAGATATTATTTCTTTGGTATTTTCTTTATGTGAGGAATTGTTGGGTTGATGGTTGGATGAAATGATCTTATAGGTCTTTTTCAACTTTAGTGTTTCTGTGAGTCACTGTCATACAGTAGGAGCTTTTTCTGCATTTGAACATGATACCAGAAAATATATTTCAGCCATCTGGCTCATAAATTGAACAGTTCAGGACAGGTTCCTGAGCCCCAAAGCTTGGCTACCGATAGCTCGGCAGTGCATGGCACAGGTTCAGCCTCAGCCATGTAGCTGAAAGAACTCCTGGAGACTCTCAGGGAGGAAGCATGGACCAAGGTCCACCTCAGGTCTGCATTTGGCCACCCTGCTGTGGGAGACAGGCAGTTTAACCCAGTGAGCATGGGCTGGGCTGGGCCAGCTGGCCGCCACCTCTGAGAGAGCCCTGCACTTGTTTAATTTAATTTAACTTAATTTAATTTAATTTACCTGGTCCAAACAGGGTGCAGTCATTAGATTTACTGCATGGACCCTGGCACTGTATCCAAGTGGAAGACTGATTCTCCACTCCTCCTAGTTCTAGCAGGTTTTATTTCTGGTCTAAAGTCATCCCTGGTGAGCTTATACCCTGTTGGTCTTCTGCCTGCTGTCTTTGAGCTCTTCATCTTGACTGTGCTGATCCTTCCTTTCCCCAGTGCACTCTCAGAAAGCAGGCAAACCCTGTGTCCACCTCCTTTTTCTTGACTGATCTCAACTCTTCTAATCTACTCTTGATCACCTTTATTTGGTTCTATTGAATAATTACTAGCTTTAATCATGATTATTTGACATTGTGATATGAAGTGATATCAGATAAATTACTAGAATTTTAATCCTTTCTAAAGTTTTCTCTGCATGTTATTGCAGCACTCGGTTTTGAGTTTATGGACTGTGCAACTCCTTCATATATACTTCACTAGTCATTAACATCATAATTAATTAAGAGGAAAAAATGGAGTTGAATAGCTGGATACTGTTCTTTTGTCTATTGGGAAAGGTCCTAGTGGTGCTACCCAGGCCTGCCTAATTCCATCAAAATCGACATATAGAATTCCTGATAGTTGAACTTATTTCTCTGAACTGGCCATGCGTGTAATGAGCAGTTATCTGGCATATTGACTGTTGTTTCCCGCAGTTATTAGCTCTGGCATTTTAACCAGTTTTCATAAGAACTGCCTCTCAGTTAGTTTCATTGGTGTAGATCAGTGCTGCTGATCAGGACAATTTGAGAGAGGCTTTGTTTAAACAACATTAAGCCATTAGAGTTTTGAGATGAAGCAGGATTTCCACAAACAAAAGACAACATCATGGCCGCAACAGGTCTCATGGAGCACGTCATGTGCTGTGCTGCAGGAGGATGTCATCTGCCAGGGGTTCCTTCACTAAGGAGCCTGCCAGGTGCAACAACTTGCCCTATCCTCTCTCTCCATGACCTCTGTGGAGAGTTCAGGGGTGTTCTGGCCAGATACCAATTTGGCAAATATTTCACATACAAAAGCTCCCAATGCTATACTGCCTAAATCCATAGGAGAGGCACGGGACAGAGGGTGTCTGCCTAATGCAGGTATTAAAATTTCAGCAGGTAGGATCTGCCTCTAGAGGTCTTCAGATGTGCCAAATCCTTCATACTGGTCCCTGAGATGATTCTCTAGCCCTCTATTTTAAATGCTCTGCTCATGAGGTGTCTTCATACAAAGGAATTAGCTGTTCATCCAAGCTGAAAAGCCTGGATACTTCCCTTGCTCTCTGTGAAGAGGATGAGCTATGTGAGACCTCACTGTGCAGCTAAAGTTCTCATAAATTTGTAAAAAAAAAAAAAAAAAAAAAAAAGTTTAAATTACTCTGGTGTAGATTTTGTCAGATGACATCTCGACATGTGGTTCTGCCAATGTGATTTACTCCATATGTTTTTCTGCACTTGAAGTCGTCACTTTGTACGTGGACCAGTCTTCATGTTTGAGTCAGCAGTGAGTGGGACTAATTTTTGTTCTCAAGCTATTAGTTACAAATGGGATCCCTACAGATATCCCAGTTTTATTTCAGCGTAAACTGCTTAGTTTGATTTTTTCTAGCTCTTTATTAATGTAATGATTCCTCTCCTCACTTTTCTTCCTTCCATAGACACTCTTATGGGAAAGGGATTCAAGGTGCCTCATATGTGCGATTTGGCATAATTGATGAAAATGAGAGAAAAGTCTTTATTCCAGGCCTGGAACAACAGCTATCAGTAAGTACTGGAGTTCAGTACCGTAGCCATGCTATTAGCAACATATTTCAATTCTAATGGCAGCAAACCAGTAGAGAGTTGTCACTTTTTTTCCCCCCCCGCTTTTGTTTTAGATTCAAAATGGAAAAGGAAGAGTTACTTTAAATACACCACTTTTGGAAGAGAAATTAAGAAGGAGCATTTCTACCCTGGAAGGGTTTCATTTATATGTTGCTGTTACCACTGTAGAAACTGCAAGTGAGTACGCTATGCCTTAACTGACATTCTGTCATATTTACACTGATCTTTCTCCAGTCTAATCCTTCATGTGGGAATTTGCTGGACGAATCTTCACTGCAATGCTTGCTCATGCTATAGTACACACCAGTCTCTTTCATCTGACCCCATCTCTGCACAAACTTAACCTTGGGTGGGATCCTCTTATCTGAACACAAATGTCCAGTGCTACTTGAAATGCCTGATATAGTCCTGTGTGGTCTGCCACTGCTGCTCCATGAGTGCACAGGTCTCCTGCAAGTACTTTCCTGTAGGAACTGTCCCATATGTCTGGGTTGTTGCCCAGAGAAGCTGTGGATGCCCCATCCCTGGGAGTGTTCAAGGCCAGGCTGGATGAGGCTTTGAGCAACCTGGTCTAGTGGAAGGTGTCCCTGCCCATGGCAGGGGGGTTGGAACTCGATGGTCTTTAAGGTCCCTTCCAACCCAAACCATTCTATGGCTCTATGATTCTGTGATATCAAACAGCCCTGTGAGGATATCCAAGATACCCTAGCCCACCTGAAGTGGCACCAGACACCCGTATGAATGCAAATAAATTGCACCCCTGGAGAACTTGAGTACTTGTCTCAGCCACGTCTTCTCCTTCCACACATACATAGTTATTAGCTGAGTTTGGTATCTTAGCTTTGTAGCCCTGCTGCCTAAGCCGTCAGGCTAAAGGTAAGGCATATGTATCACAGCTACAGTGCATTGCAGAGGAGGATCTAGCCCTTGCGAGTCCTGCTTGTCCTCTCAGGCCTTCGCACAGTTTTATCAGACTGTGATACTTGGCATGTGTACTAGTACAGTCCAAATAGCTTGGTCTTGCTGCTCATCTGGGACACAAGGCTGGAGCATTCCTATCCAGAAGTTTTTTGGTGGCTGTTAGCCTTTGTTTTCCTAGAGGACAGATAATTATTTCCAAAGTTCATTACAGGGGATTTCTGTAGATATTTGTATGTTGGACTTTGATGTAGCCTTCCCCCAGGAATGAAGCCCCAGCAGTAGGAAAGGGGGAGGGCACATGGCCATAGTGCCTCCTGTGGTAGCAGTGTGCTCCGGTGTTTGTAGGAACCCTGTTCCAATTAGTGTGTTACAGGGGAATTTTCATGTTTGAGTAATGAACCACTTTGCAGGTCTCCATGTCTGAGCTGTCGGGAGCACCCACCTGCCGGTGCTGGCCCGCTGGAGCTCCACACACATCGCACTGCCCTCACACTGGCCTGTTGTTTTCTGTTCCCCATCTGCCTGCACCCCTCTCTTCCTCTTCCCAGGACTGAAGCTCTTTGGGGAGGGGTCATATTTCAGTTTGCTTTACACATGTTTCTAAAAATACAACTGATCTTGAAAACAGAACTTAGATGCTATGGTAATGTGCAAGTACATAGTTGTTACTCCCATAGCAACATATACTCTTTGATATTAACAGGCGGTGAGATGAGGGAAGAGGAGCTCAGCAATGTGAAGTTTGTGAAATCACCTTATGCTGTTGATTTGTCTAACACCAAAAAGTATTTTGTGCCTGGAGCCCCCTTCTCGGTTGTGGTACGTACTATTTAGCTGACTGCAGCAAGGGATTTATATCTCCTTATCTGATCCAGTGGGAACGGTAGGACAGACACCTTCAGGAATAGGACCAACATGGAGCTACTGTTTATGTGTCTGGTTTGTCTCATTTCTGTACACACAGAGCCTAAACAGGGAAACTGAAGACAGAAAATGCCGGTTTTCTGTTCTGGAAGTCGTCTGTGCACTGTTGCACTACAAGGTTTTAAAAAACATGTAGCAGTCTTTTCCTCACTTCTATAGCAAAATATTAAAATAATAATGCTGTATGGAATTAATCCCACATAAAATTAAAATTCTGAAAACTAAAACAGGGTATTGTCTTTAAAAAAAATTGTTTTTATTTTTTAAACTTCGTACCTCCCATGTTTTCCTACAAAGATTTCTACAAAGACCTCAAGTTAGAAATTTACCTTATAATCATTAAAGACATATATCTCTGGGGTCAGCTGAGATCTAATAGGCGCTAGGTAAATACCTGTGGCAGCTGTTAATACATGTTAACAGATTTTTACCTTAAAAAAAGGTACCTTTTACCTGGAGTCCAGACTGAGTCAATTCCTACTGCCTTCTCTCAAAGCTCACACTTTCAAATAATGTGTACAGTTTTGTATTTCTTCTCAGTTTATAAAAATAATTGCTTCTCGTTTGAGGGCATTTTTTTAAACCCACGTGCTTCCTTGAAGTAAGAGAAAAACATTTGTTTTCCAATAGGCATCTGTCACTTTGATTGATGGCTCTCCTGCTGCCTCTCTACCTGTCACTGCTACTCTCACCTTGCCTGGAAAGACCCCAGTGAAGAAGACTGCACTTTCTAATAAAGACGGTCTGATCCCCTTTACATTCAACATCCCTGGAGATGCTCAGATGCTTCAAATAATGGTAAAGAAAACCCAAACGTCCATATTTAAAAATATACTGCCAGGAAGAGCTCATATGACAATTACAAATGGCTGTGAAGGTGATCAGTTTTCATTAAATTAGCAGAGAGGGTGGACCATGATTTCTTACAGCATCTGCAAGGCTTTGTCCAGATTGTGTAACATATGTCAGAGAGACCAGGGGCCTGAGGGGTGTCTCACTGAAGTAAAGGACACTCTCATACATCAGAGCTTTGGGAATACATGCATCTGTGACAGTGATGATTTTTTTGTGAATTGGATGTGTATTTTCCTGGCATGAAGTATGGAAATGGGACTGTAAGGAATATCACCATGAGAAGTGACAGAAAATTATGAGAAGAAGGTGAAGAAAAAGGTTCTGTGCAGTGCAGACAGTAGGTTACATTATAGGTTCAATTATATGCATAATATAAAAAGGGAAAAAATCTGTCCAAGTACAAAATCACTGTGTGATTTTGAGCTATTGATTCTCATACAGAAAGAGCCAAGACAGAGAAATATCAAGTGCAAGTACAGCAAGAGACAGAATAGGAGGAGAGAATAAAGTAATTAAAATCCTGATTTTTTGATGGCAGGCTCAGCAGCGATTCATCTCATTTCCCACCATTTTCTGAATAACCTGGCAAGATATGAATTAAGGGTGACGCACTATTCTGTCTCCTGAGGGACACTTTACTTACTCTGTCCTTTTCTCTCCTGACAGGTAAAGGCTGAAGAGGGAAAAGAAAAATTAGAATCGCCTGAAACCAGTATCAGAGCTGAAAGATACCAGTCTGCTTCCCAGAACTACCTCAGTATCAGCATCCCACATACTATTGTGGCACCTGGAGATACCTTACGAATCACCTTGAATGACATTCATCAGCCTGGCAGTGGAAAGATTGACTCTTTCTATTATATGGTAAACAGAATAGTAGCCTATCAGTAATTTATTTTAGAAATTATACAACTCAGAACATCTGTCTAGTTACTAATACATGGGAAACCGGAGGGAGTGCAATGAAGGGCAACTGAGATGAGCAGTGTCTTAGCACACCTGACCTACCAAGACAGGCTGAGGTAACTGGACTTGTTCAGTTTGGTGAAGAGGCTAAAAATAAGTTAATAGCAACTTAAAATCACTTGAAGAGGAATTACAGACATAATGGAGACAAACTTTCCTGGCTGGTGCCACGCAATATAACGAGGGACAAAGGCTACATATTACGGCCTGTAAATTTCATTTTGGAAAAGTCTTTTCATTAGTGATGGATCTAATACTGGAAGAGGTTCCCCAGAGAGCTTAGGGAATTGCGATCCTCAGAAGTATTCAACATTCAACTAGAGAAAACCAGATCTGACCTAATCTTATGCTGGTGATGGCTCATCTTAGAGCAAACAGTTGGACTAGAGCTCTCCATAGGTCCTGTCCAGAAACTGTTTCTACAATTCTGTTATTTTTATATATTTGCAGGTATTTTTTGGCATGTGATACACAAATATTTGTAAATTTTTCTTCTGGAGAAGGACACATAAGCACAAATTTTAGTCTGTAATTTCTCATACAGTCTAGAGCAAACAGGTTCATATAGAGTAATGTTTGCCTGCATAATTACATGGATGTTTTTGAAAGATAATAAATTGACGGCCTTGAACACTGAAATCTTAGACAGATAACTTCTATGATATCTATGATAATTTGATTTCTATTAATCCAGATCTTGTCCTTTTCCTCTCCTTCCAATCTATATTTTTTTCTTATAATAAGCCAATATTGAATATTATTTGTATTGTTCTGATTCCCACAAGTACCTTTTTCTCAGCTATTACAGAACTGCTCACTTCGTGGGTAGATCATATATATGCATAAGTTTCTGCCCCTGCAACTAGAAAACCTAATCATATTCTAGGGAACCTTGAATATCTCAGAAAAGGTCTTTTATAGTTAACTATTGTTTATTTGATAAATAACACAATTCTTACATTACCAGGGCTCCATGTTACCTGCACCCAATGTTACTTAACAGGTAGGTAGGTCAGCGTTGTCTCTAACTGATAATGTCACAAAGGATCCCTGCAGACATTGGCTCTTGTGGGTCTAAATAACACCCTGAAATTGGGTCTGAAAAGCAGTCCTATATATGGAAAAACAAGGAAATAATCCTGCTCAGCTTGAGACTAGGACTGCAAAGTATTTATTTTCCTGAAGGAGACAAATGTGTTCATGGATACATTCCAGGAGTGAATCTGTCGAATGTCAA